GCAGTTACAGCTCCAGTTTTGTTGTCGCACCTGACACCGCTCCATTGACAGCACTCACTCCCTTGCCATGAATGGAGTCGACCTTCAGGATCGACAATACCACTTCTGAAGTCGATCAGAGCTTTCCTATCAGATTCTGAGCAACCTGTTGCAGCACCATGACAAACTGATACTCTTGACAACAAATAGATAATAAGCAGAGCCCACCCAACAACATAAAATGTTCTCATTATTTCAGCAGTAGTTCCAAGAGACATTCTCAATAGTTTCATTTGTGAGTGAACAGGGAGAATCTTTTCATTTCTTAAATAGATTCAAGGGCGTGTCTTTGGGGATAAGATCTGAGAGAAGAAAAGGGAGAGCGAAGACTCTCGTCGACTTGAACTGATTTCTGTTCTTCTCGTCAAAGTCAAGGGCCTACTTGAGTCTTCAATGAATTACTGAGCTTTGCGTGCTCTTTGCGCAAATCTTTGTGCTGAAGATGAGAAAGTGCAAAGAGCCACCGCGTTAATGGCTGTCTTCTTCGCTGGGAGATCTTATTTACTGGAACAAGTGGAAAGATATTTATTGTTCAATGTGGCAGACATGGACTAAGGAACCAAACAAATTRTCAACCAAMGGGCCATCAATCTGGACTTTGGAGGGGATCACTAATCAAGTCATCCTGTTTCAGAAATTTTGCCAGGATTCGGCAAGCCGCCTTATAATTTAGACTTCAATTGTTCAGATATTCATTGATGGCCTATGTCTATGCTTGTTCAGTAACCTAAATACAAATTAAATTAGCTTGGTTGACCCGAGACTTTCTGGGTTTTCACCAAATAGAGTTTCTAATCCTTCTGTGTGGGGCACACCATACCAAGCCAGGAACTGCTGCATGAACTCCTCCAAAACGTTTGGCTCAATTTTCAAAAGGAATCGTTTCGTTATGAAGTTTTCCACATGCGTGAACATAATAGATGGTGACTGTGATGGAAACCTAAAAGTCCCAGGCATTGTGGACCCTTTCTCAGATTACTTTTTCGACACCATTCTTCACGCTAGGTGGAAAATTTCAAAGGCATTTTAGACTAATTAACTCAAACTGAGATGAAACCATGAAACTGAAGAGGGGAGTTTTGGATTAATTGCCAACATGCATTCTGGCATTGTCAACATCAATCCCACACCATATAACCCACCTTCCTCTTCTTTTCCATGGAACAATAGCCTTCATTTTCTGGAAGGGAGATATGATAAGAAGGTGATTGGAGTCTTTGCAAAGCATACAAACAGAAAATTTAGGATTTTGAATTTAGGCCATCTTTGATTTGATAGCAAAAGGAAAGGAAAAATAAGGAAATCTATACAAAGTTTGCAAAGGTTYCTCTACCTTTTCTTTCCTTTCTCTACCTTTTTCTTCAAACCAAACATAGCCTTAAGAAAAAATCTATTTTATAGAAAAGATATGGTATTGAAAGAGTTTTGACCAATCAAAATTCCTTATGAATTTAATAAATAACCACCTGATAGGTTACCACTTAATTTTATGATACTGGTTCAATAATGTTAATAGACTTGGAGGTGATGAAAAGCCAAAAGAACAAATTTGACTGTACGGGTCTCCAATTTACTGGTTCTACCATTGGACCTTGATGGTGGGATATTTTCCCCTAATGGTGTAATATGTATCATGTAAGAGTGGTTATCTTTCTTTGTAAAATGATCTGAGATAAGAAGAATGGAACATTTGGACAAGTGGCAAAGAATTGTAGGCCTGAAGTTTGCCACATAGAGGGTGTGAAAGATCTATGGACACAATGTTTTCAAAAAAGAACAGGCAACAAAATGAGAATGGGCTTTGTTTCTTCTCTCTCTTCATTCTATTGAATTATGAATTAGAATTAAATGTCTAACTTTAAAATCACCAAAATCACCCAGTTGTACTTGAAAACCAGATTAGGCATCAAAACGGAAATGGGTATTGTTTCTATTTTCTCATACATTTACGAGGTTTAAATTGCCAAAAGTAGCCAGTTACTCTTGAGGGTGTAATTCCAGTTTAACCCTATTAAATTGGCAATCCAGTCAAGTTTTCAAAACCTTACATGGATTTATACTGTATGACTAGAATACATTTTACAGTCATACTACAATTCAGAAACCCTTAGGCTGCGTTTAGAAACGATGCAAATAAGTGTGAATGCAARTATGTAGAGTGTAAAACAGTTCATATAAATTGCAAAATTGGATTAGTTTTGCACCGACAAATTTACCTTCTTACGAAATTGACTTTTAATTGTAATGGGTGTGAATTCCAATAAAGCATATGTTTTTTTTTTTTTTTTAACAAAAATCCACTTGATTGCAAATTTACTTCTTTTTTATTGATGTACTTATGCATTGGCCTGTCATTTGTCAATGCATAAATRTAATGTTGCCAAATACAGGCAAAAATTAACCAGAGTACAAATTTACCCTGAATGGGGATTTACACTCCATTTACATCCTTTCCAAACGCAGCCTCAATAAAACGTGAACACACCACTGATTTTATATTTTATCATTTTACACTGTCGCAGGACAATTTGAAATAACACTGCATGCATTATGACACGGTAGTAGCTTCTGTATGAAAATATTGATCCCAGTTATCTGGGGTCTTGGTAGAGGCAGGTTGGATACAGATCTAACCTTTGAATTGAAATTTGCTATTGAAACCAGTAGCTGAGATGGTCACTTGGTGCCAATCTAAATATGGAGGTATAGAGGTTGGGGATCAAATCCATGTAACTGCAGTCGAGAAGTGGCATGCACCCTGCTCTGCCTCAACCCCTAAGATGTTTTCAAGTTGTATTGGGAACATCTCGTGATGATGTCTCGTTATCTCTCATACTTGTCATTGGGAGATGTTTCCAATACAAGGTAGGGATATTCGGGCATTGTGGGGCACTGATGTGAATTCAATTAATCTAAAAAGAGAAAATTGGCACACTTGTTTAACTCTCACTTCCTCGTATGATTTTATTTTTCAAGGAATAAACAACTGCCACATCAGTACATGGCAGTTATTTTTGTTTTTTCTTAAAAATAAGTTGTGCATATTTATCAAAACAAAAAAGTTGTGCATATTTGCGAGCATTCCATTAGTGTTTTTCTACAAAGTTTCCAAAATAATATTTTCAATACATGCCAAGACCATCCAATTAGTCTGGTGTCCATGACTTGTACGTTCTACATTAGTGAATCCAGATTTATTCCTCAGAGAGTGCTCGTCATACCAACCTCAGCATTTGCATCCGCACATTGGTAACATCGTATTTTTTCATTCATATTCATGGGAAAAATTCTCAATGAATAAATGCAACATTTTTAAGTTTTTGACACCAAGCCCCCATCAGTGAAAGGTCCACCCCATTCAATGCAACATTTCTTAKAAAACCTTAGACCAGTTACCTACTAAATATCATCATCAGTCAATGCAGAGAATTCAGAAAAGACACCAAGCTAGCACAACTAGACAGGGTACCCAAGTTGGAAGGGATTGTGCCAATAAACCCAGCAATTGACAGATTTAAGTATTGCAACTGTCGGGATTGACAAGTGAGTGAACGGTGTGCTGCCTTACAGTTACAGAGGAATAAAAGAGGCAAGAAACTGATATACAAGGATTGATTCATAACCTAACTTAAGCTTTTCCATTAAAAGTGGCATCCCACTCTTGTGTCTAATTCCCCGTGAATTTGATAAATAGCCACCTGATTAGTTTACCACTTTTATGATAGTGGTTGACTGGTTCCAAGTTTTCTGGTATTATAGTTGAACCCTATGTTATCGGGTCAAAAGAAAGTTCTGCAACTATGGTTAGTTTGTGTTCGCACATCCCACCGTCTCGGTGACCCTCAACAGCAATACCTTCGGAATTGAAGATGTGGGTTGAGACAAACCTAAATACCTTAAAAGACTTGACCTTAACAAAGGAAGATCAACCTGCCCACATAAGTTCCAGGACCCATATCTGCTAGAATCGGTCATAGGTGTTGGTTGCGGAGCTCAATTGCAGTTAGTGCTTCAATAGATGCTTCTTGTCACGACGAAAGCCAATTTTCAGGACTGACACCATTTCTGAAGTCAATAAGAGATCTATCAGCTCCTGAGTATTGGATTTTACCACTACAAACGAGCATTCTCGACAATAAACAGAGGACTAACAAAATCTGATCGACAACAGAACCTTTTCATTTCCTCAACAATTCCAGAACGAAAACCATGAACTAATGTGAACCATGAAATCTGATATTTTAAGACTTTCTTTATATTTCTTTCATCACAAGCAACTCTGCCCTTTTCTTTAGAAGATTTAATGGTGTGTGAGTGTGTATTCATTGATAAGATCATAGACAGAAGCCATGAAATTTGTATTTTCTAGTCGAAGAGCGAGAGCTAAACTAATCTATCTAAAGCTTGGGCACAAATTTATATACTTTGGAGMAATTTCTTATTTGAATCCACTGTTTATTGCTCTCAGTTATGAGCAAAGCTTCTTTGAACTCAGCAATCAGCAGCAATTACTAGTATGTGGCCTTCCTTTTCTTCTTCTAGGTCGGGTGGCTTCCTTTCTGTTCTTTGGTCAAAGCAGACCGCACTACCCACCTGCTCAATCTTTTATTGTTTTACTATTTCCCCCTTCCCCATTCTTACTCTACCATTTATCGGTTGCAGCTGCCCCAATCTCTCTCTATAGAGAGAACAACGATCTTCTGTTTCTCTGTGATCTCTCTTTGTTAGAGTTGGTGACCAGAAAGATGATTAGTCCAAATCGCCAATGGCAATGGAGGCGGTAAATATCTCCCCCAAATTTCATTCCTCTACGTAAATTGACTAAATTCATGTTTTCTTCTTCTTCTTTTCCCTAACGTATACAATCTAGAAATGATGCCAAGCCGGTTTCTGGTTCAAATCTAGAACTACAGAGGAAGCCAATTACCCCGAATCCCCTCCCTGATCAACCCTTTTTCTTGAGTACTTCGATCAAAATCATCACACATCAATTAATACACTTACAGCCATGTAATCTGCAGACACTTCATACTTTAGTTCTAACCGTCGGATATGGAATCAGTTTCAACACTATTCCCAATTCCCACATCATATGGCTGACTCACAAATTGTACTATTATTAGGTAGGAAACTGAGATTGAAACGTCGTACTTAGATTCTAATCCAAAAGTGTTGAACTAAGGATCACCAGATTGTCATCTCTACCCCACTAGCAGTT